AACTCCAGCCCCTTTGTTTAGCTTTTTAAGGAATCATCACACTGTTTTGCATAGTGGCTGAATGATTTTTCATTCCCATCAACAATGTATAACAGGGTTTTGAGTTCTTCCCATCTTCACCAACACTTGTTATTTATGTGACTTTCTGATATAGTGGGCATAGAATGATATTTCACTGTTATTTATTTATTTTTTTGGTGTTTTGTTTTCTCAGTCCTGGGGATTGAAACTAGGGCTGCTTTACTACTGAGTTACATCCCTAGCCCTTTTTATTTTTATTCTGAGACAAGGCCTTGCTAAATTGCTTGCTAAATTAGGCCTTGCTTAATTGGCCTTAAAGTTTGAATCCTCCTTCCCCAACCTCCTGAATCACTGGGATTCCAGGCCACTGTGCCTGGCTCATTGTTTTGATTTACATTTCCCTGATGACTATTTGTCTTGAACATCTTTTCATGTGCTTATTTTTGTATTTGTATATCTCCCCTGAAAATAGGTCTATTAAGATGCTTTTCCTGCTGGGCACACTGTAATCCCAGCAGCTTGGCTCTGGAGACTGAGGCAGGAAGATTAGGAGTTCAAAGCTGGCCTCAGCCATTTAGCAAGGCTCTAAGCAACTTAGTGAGACTCTGTCTCTATTTTTTTTTTCATTTTTATTTTTTGGTAGCAGGAATTGAACCTGAAGTGTTTAACCGTTGAGCCACGTCCCAAGCCCTTTTTATATTTTATTTAGAGACATGGTCTTGCCAAGTGGCTTAGGCCTTGATAAGTTGCTGAGGCTGGCTTTGAACTTGCCATCCTCCTTCCTCAAGCCTCCTAAAGTGCTGTGATTACAGGTGTGTGCCGCCACACCCTGCTTATCTTTAAATAAAATATAAAAAATGCCTGGGGATGGGATGTGGCTCAGTGGTTAATTAATAGCCCCTGAGTTCAATGCTTGGTACCAAAAAGGGAAAAAAAAATATGTGTGTGTGTGTGTGTGTGTGTAAAACATATAAAATACATGTAAAAATTTATTTTACACACACACACACACACACACACACACACTTTTTCTGCTGGGTGTGGTGCTGTAAGTTTGTAATCCTAGAGGCTCAGGAAGCTGAGGCATTTAAGGAGACCCTGTCTCAAAAATAAAAATAAAAAAATCCCAGCAAATAAACAACAACAACAAAAACTGCTGGGGATGTGGCTCAGGGGTAGGTTGCCTTGGGCTCAATCCCTGGTACAAAACAAAATTTTTTTTTCTATTTTTAACAGAGTGGTTTGTCTTTTATTGTTGGGTTGTAACGATTCTTCCTTTTTTTTTTTTTTTTTAGATACAAGTCCCTTATCAAATCTATAATTTGCTTAGGAGTTGCAACTAACTCTTTACTTGAGTATTTCCAGGTCATAACAGGTAGTGTTAATTCAAATTGTAGACCTACATAGGGCTGGCTAGTGGTTACAGTTTTGAAAGTAGTTTTATTTTCACCCAGTCCCAGGATCAAGACAGGAAAGTTTATTTGTTGTTATTGTCCACACAGTGGAGTTTGTTTTTATTCTACAACCATATATTAGTGTATAACTTTTGTGGGTTCCAATTTTCTGATAGATCCCACTTTTATCTCCTGCAACATACCCCTTCCTGCCACACACACTTTGTAGCTATTAAACCCAGAAGTTCAAGGTTTCTAAGGTTTGGCAGAAAATCTTGATGAAAGAGCTCATTCAGTATTTAGTATTCCCATATTTTGTCTTTGTCTTTAGGAGCTGCAAATTCTTTGCTTTCATGTCAGCTCAGAAATATGCTTATACAGCTGAATATGATTTTAAAAAATTGCTAAGTTTTCAAGAAAGCAATTACCGACATTGAGAGTATCTAATATACAATATTTCTATGAATAATAATCAGATTATTGGCATTAAGAAGGTTAATAAACTGTGAGGCTAATGTGATTTGCTGACCCAGAGCCTCTTGTATACTAGAAGTACTCTACCACTGAGTTATATAACCCCAGCCTTAATTTGTGCCTTTTATAACTCAATTCATGGCATATAGTATGTAAAGTTCATGAGAACAGAACTTTTTGTCTGTTTATTCAATAGTTAATAAATATTTCATGAGTGAATACAACTGTTTATAAATGTCAAATGAAATGCAATCTCTTTGAGTACTTTTTCTTATACTAACTAGAGTATTTCTTTTTCACTTTGGCAAGAGGGAAGGGAGCCAACTTATTTTTCTTCTATCTTTTTTTAAAATTTTTTCTTTTTAGTTGTAGATGAACACAATACCTTTATTTTATTTGTTTTTGTTTTTATTTTTATGTGGTGCCGGAGATTGAACCCAGTGCCTCACACATGCTAGGCAAGTGCTCTACCACTGAGCCACAACCCTGATCCATTCTTCTATCTTTTAAAGAAAAATATTTAATAAAGTATACTATAATGCAGAAAATTGATGATCAGCTTGGTTAATTTTCACTAACTGAATGCTTTTGTGTAAATATTACCAAGATCGGGCTGGGGATGTGGCTCAAGCGGTAGCGCACTTGCCTGGCATGCGTGCGGCCCGGGTTCGATCCTCAGCACCACATACAAACAAAGATGTTGTGTCCACTGAAAACTAAAAAATAAATATTAAAAAAAATTAAAAAATAAAATAAAGGTATTGTGTCCAACTACAACTAAAACAAAATATTAAAAAAAATATTACCAAGATCAAGAAACAGGAGAAACAGGCCTAAACTTTTAAAAGTAATATTTTAGAAAAGTCATTTTCATATAATTTGGTGCGAGTCTTACTCTGTAGTGACTCAGATGTGGTAGTTAAATATTTGCAGCAAGGTGACTGTAAAATATTAGCTGCACATGAATTTTTTCTTTGAAGACATGATTAAGGTCAGATTTTTTAAAGTGCTGGAGCCCATGACCAGTGATTGCATGACACTCATGAATAGTGTTGCTAATGGTTCATATCCCTGGGATGTGAGGTAATGAATTTTTTACTGAACTCTAAATCCATGCTTAAAAGTATGTCTAAATTCTTCATCAATTTCTACCCACAGAAAAGGCAACATGGAATATGCTGAACTTCAAAGTTTAGAGTCATGACTACCAAAATGCAAATTTGTTTAAAGAAAGTATTTGTTTTATTGCTTTCTCTAGTTCCATTAAATAATTCACTTTTGACTTTTCCTATCATGTAGAGCAAGTGTTGGCAAACGTTTTTCTTAAAGGACCAGGTACTAAATATTTTAGGCTTGCAGATGATACTATATGTCACAACTACTCAGCTCTGCTGGTATAGTGTGAAAGCAGCTATAGACAGTACATAAATGATTGGGAGTGGCTGTGTTCCAGCAAAACTTTATTTACAAAAACAGGTAGACTACAGGCTGGGGTTATGGCTCAGTGGTAGAGCGCTTGCCTAGCATGTGTGAGGCACTGAGTCCAATTCTCAGCACTCCGTAAAAATAAACAAACAACCTGGTGCAGTGGCACATGCCTATAATCCCAGCTGCTTGGAAGGCTGAGACAGGAGAATTGCGAGTTCAAAGCCAGCCTCAGCAATAGCAAGGCACTGAACAACTCAGTGAGACTGTTTCTCTAAATAAAATACAAAATAGGGCTGGGGATGTGGCTCATCAGTGGAGTGCCCCTGAGTTTAGTCCCTGGCACACCCCCCCCCAAATAAATAAATAAACAAACAATATAAAGGCATCATGTCCATCTACAACTAAAAAATAAATAAAGAAATAAAAAACAAAAAAAAACCCAGGTAGACAGAGTTTGCTGACCCCAATCTAGAATAAGACCTCATCAGATGGATGCTCAATAGACTATCATAGGGGAATTGGCCATTCAGTAACTTAATTAACAAATTACTGAGTGGGTGCTACTTGCCAAACTGAGGACTAGGCTGTTAATTAAATTATAGTATACTTGGGCTGGGCTGGAGTTCTAGCTCAGTGATACAGTTTTTACTCTATGTGCAAGGATGTAGGTTTGAACCACAGCACCCCCCCAAAAAAAAAAAAAAAAGGTATGTCTACTCGCTGGAACATGAGACATTGAAAAATGATAATTTTTTAAGACTTTTTTTTATATGTGAGAAAATGCTTTTAGGTGGGAAATCAAGATAAAAAGTTTATATCTTAATAAATATGGACTGATACTTAAAGAAACATATAAAGTTTTGTTAGGTAGAAAGATGATGGACAATTCTTTTCGGCTTTTCAAATTGTCCTCAGGATTTTTGCATTCCAAAAATAACTAAACGTGACCTAATGAGATGCCAGTTAAAACTTGTTTTCATTGCTATTATGTATAGATTGAATATACCTAATCTGAAATCCAAAATATTCCAAAAGTCTAAAGCTTTTTGATCATGGACATGATGCCAAAAGTAGAGAAATCCATGCCTGATCTCATGTGACAGGTTGTATTAAAACACAGGCACACAAATATATTGTATAAAATTACTTTCAAGCTGGGTGTAGTGGTTAATGTTTGTAATCCCAGCAGTTTGAGAGGCTGAAGCAGGAAGATTGTAAGTTTGAAGCCAACCTTAATAATTTTAGACCCTGAGCAACTTAGCAAGACCCTGTCTCAAAATAAAATAAATAAATAAATAAATAAAAAGAGCTGGGGCTATATAGCTCAGTGGTAAAGTGCCCCTAGGTTAAATCCCTAGTATATAAAAACCTTCAAAGTATGTGTATAAGGTATATATGAAACAATTTTGTATTTAGACTTGGGTACCATTCCCAAGATATTTCATTGCATATATGTGAATATTCCAAAATCTGAAGAAGGAAGAAATCCTAATCATTTCTGATTTCAAGCATTTTAGATAAGGGATGCTCATTTTATAGAATGAACAAGAAGTGTTGAAAAACTATTGTTCAGTGAAGTTCTGAAGTCTTTTACCTAATCAATATAAAATTGACACTTGACAGTATGTTGCTGCTTTTTTCAAGATGTATTGTCATTTCTTTTATTTTTTTCTGTTTTAACAGTGCCCTTATGTCTGCCATTTGTTATATTTACTTACCAAAAAAGAAAATGGTGAGTATTTTCATTCTAGTTTCATTACATTCACTGTATGGAATTAGCATTTGTTTTGGCATTTATAAAATTAAAATAACTATTACTATTGGTTATATGACAGGATTCATTTGGCAAAAATTGCGTTGTAGTACTTTTATCTAAGATCATCTGCTTAATGGCTTTACTGAACTGGGTGTTTATATTTTTGATGTGTTTTAACATGAAATTATATGAACTACATAGTGGTTAGGCATAATCTTTTTCTTCTTTTTTTGAACCAAATGCATAAAACTTCTTTTCTTTACCTTTTCTAGTCAAACCATTTCGTGTGAGAAAGCTGCTTGATCTTCAAGCTAAAATCGTGAGTACTAAAAAAACCTGAGACTAGCCAGTTTATACTATGAGCCACATACTGAAGTAAGCTTTGGAGATACAAAATCAAACGTCATTATCTTTTTTTTTTTTTTTTTTAAAGAGAGAGTGAGAGAGGAGAGAGAGAGAGAGAGAGAATTTTTAATATTTATTTTATAGTTC